AACCACTCGGCCACGGAGGTCGTCAAAAATATACTAATAACTTATGTTCTATTCCAGTCTCAAGTTATATATTAGAAAACAGCACATACGTAGCTGTTATAAAGATATTTAACCACTTACCTGTATGTATTAAATCTGCAAATGGCATTCAATTCAAAAATAAAATAAAAAAATGGCTAATTGAAAAAAGTTTTTATAATCTTAAGGAATTTTATGACTGTAAATCTTAATGATTTTATTCTTAATTAATTATTATAGATGATAATTTTATTTTTATATTAATTGAATGCGAATTATAATATTAACTTATGAGATTAATTTTAATTGAATATTATTATTTATTTTAATTAGAATTTTTGACATTGTAAAATAATTTTAATTAACTATTGACATTGTACGTCCGAAATGGGCAGACTGTTTGGATCTGTATATTAATACATAATGTTACCATCTTATTGTACCCAGTTTAAACAATGAATAAATGAATCTGAATCTGAAACGAAATAGTGTTTTTATCCCTTGGGACCAAAATAGTGTTTTAATCCGTAGGGACTTTAAGTAATTTGTATTTGGAATCTGGATATTGTAAGTTAAAGTTGCAATCACCAAAGAGATCAATCAGGAACATTTTATGAACAAGTCTCAAGACATAAACCCCGCGATCGATAAAAAAAAAGATGAAGAAAAAATACAAACGTGCGAAATACCTTTCGCCTACATTCAATGAGTGTTTTCCTCGTGTAGTGATAATGAAAGTATGCTCAAATGTAATATAGTCTATAATCTACAATCCTGCTTTGAATTCAAATAACGCTCAAGCCTTTAAAATGTTGACAATTTGCTCCATTAGTAAGCAATCTATTATTAACTCCGTACAACCGAGTGTTTACGACACTCACGAATTTTTTTAATTACAAAATTTGATCAATGCTCGTGCTACCCATAGGTACTACTCAACAAGTAAAAGTTTATTTCGCGTTACGGCTTCCAAGAAGCCCTGTAAACAATATTTCGCTGTAAACCACCATTTATACACATATATATAGCTAATCGTTATTTTTCTCTACGCTCTGCCTTCATTATTGATGTTGTTGACGAAAGATTCCAATTTCTGTTTCGTCATCTATGGTTTGCCCTCGTTTATGGTTCGTCATTATATGGCTCGTGTTCTATTGTGTACGTATGCGAGCATTAAAGGACATGGTTAAGAAACTGCCCTTAACGTGTACAATTATTTCTCACTAGCCCGTAACATTATAATATTTTTTTATAAATTACTAGCTGTGCCCCGCCGTGTTACCTGCGGTTTATTAGGGATATTTTCCCGCAGTCAAACGTAGCGTATGTGTTAATCCAGAGTGTCAGCTAACTCCGTCTCGTCCGGCAGACGTGAAGAAGTAACAAACATACACACTCACAAACTTTCGCCTTTATAATATTAGTGTGATTACGTGCTTATTATTCACATACAACTTTCGTGAAATAATCAAATATATTAAAAGTATAAAAATTTACCTCATATCTGTTTTAAAGGGAAATGTTCCGTTTTACAAAAATAAATGAACAATAAATGTACCCAAAAAAATATTTGTGTAAGTATATCGAAATGAAACAATTACAAACTCCTAAAAACCATGACATATTTGGCCTCAATTTTTATTTTTACTCAAAGCCTTAACTAATTGATTTTAATTTTCTGATCAGGCTTGAAACGAGGCTAAGACAATTAATCCTTTGATTTTTTTGCAAATGAACAAAAAAACTTCACAGATTTCCTGTCAGGCTGACGAAAACAAAGTACTTATTTGTATTTATTTCTGCTTTAAAAATACTTTTTGTGAAGTGTTAAGGAAAATGCGACTAGTGATGGCTTTCTAAATAATTGGCAACATCTTTTATTAAACGTAACAAGGTAATGACGTAGTCGGAGTTTTCATAATTTTCATGATTGCGACTTTATCAAAAGTTCCTGAGCCTTTTTTTATATAAATTATAAATATTCAGTCATTTAGCATTACATATTACTTAGAACATTATTTATACATTGCTAGGGCAGACGCTCATACAAACTTATTCCATGTCCTTTATCGTAATTAGGCTATCTATCTCTCGCTCAGTTCGGTACAGCAATGCCGCTTTATGTGACTTTATCTGGGAATCCAATAATATTTTTAATTGTCTTATATTTTAAGGATAATACTAATCCGTTCAACAGTTTTTGCGTAATGGAGCACATAGAAAGATTCACATCCACGCGACCTAATCTTATTGAGGCCAATGCAAGAGATCCTATCAATCTCTTGGCATTAAAGCCCTCCCGCTTCTAGGAAACGGCTTCTAGCAAATTCAACTTGGCCATGCGATGAAACATCACTCAAATGTTTGTTTTCCTTTCAAACGATTCAAAAACGGCTCCCGCAAAATTTAACTGTTCCATGGAATCATTGGCTCCGCCGCGCGACGTTTTGTTTGTGCAAACTGTTGCCGTTACGTCGAACAATTTGCAGCTGGCGGGTTAGCCGAATCGCCGACGTAAATTAAGAATGAATTAGGCTACGATCTCATATTCCTTTCGGACAAGAGAATGATGATGTTACACCTAATTCCGTGTTGGCGAATGTGATCCATTATTTCTCAGAAGGCGTGCCGTCACCGGCAGCTGCACTCGCGGACGCAATGGGGCGGGTCATTAGTTTCTACTGCGAATTATTTCCTGCGCATAGAGCTAGAACAGCCGCTAGCTGATTTCACCGGAAAATGACTATGCGACGCGGATGCAATGGCGTGCCTAGCGAAATCTGTAATATTGTCGTATCTCTTTGATCTTTAATAAAGTAGTGATTGTAGCACGAAGCTTTGTTATTGTTTCAATATCATAATTTACTTGATTCTGAATAAAATCACTGCACTACATAATGTGTTGTATTAGAGATCATTTTACTACTCTGGTTTCTTAATTAAAACTGGAACTTCTTCTCAAGTCTACTTAATTGATTTTACGTTATAATTATTCTTGGCGTGTTGAACCCTTTACAGGCTCCGTGATCGCAAGGCAGGCTGTTCAAGTCTTTATTAAATGATTGTGTACGTGAAAACATAATAAACTAATATTAGAAGACTGCAGATTGATTCTTCTTCACATTCTTCATTTTGTTCGAATTTACAGCTGCATCATTCTCATTCGAGCTTTATGCAGTACTTTCGTAATCGGAAACCATAAATACTCGATGTCGTTATATAAGACATCTCAATGAAGTAGGTAAGGTTTTCACTTTAGTTTCCGCATTCAAGACACGCGTGACTTTTACTGGTCATACGTACACTCTCATTTCGTGAAATGTTGCGAAACTACCCGCTGCATTCAATGTCAAAATGATGCATCGATCAGCTTTCTGCGGTTTCTGGTCGAGTCATCAGAATGCGAGTTATTCAATATGTAATGTAATGTATTCTTGAAGGTTAATAACGGTTGTGCAGTCGCTGTGATAACAACATAACATGCCATAATAACGCTAACTATTGATTGGTGTACGCAATTAATAATAATAAATCTTTATTGTGTATGGAATAAGGTAACATAAAAGTACAGGTCTTAATGCTAATGTACATTACCACGTGATCCTACGTTTTCAGGTGTATACACATTTATATTATACGTATAGGAACCATATGAATTTAATTACAAGTAAATACTTAATGCGGAGCAATTAATTATTTAATTATTGTGCCTGATTCCCAGAAGTATCAATTTACATGATTAGTCATTTTATTATTATATACAAAATACTTTATAGGTATTAACGGGATTGTAACCATGTACCTTGTTTTTAAGTTACAATGATCACGAGTAACAGTTACTCCGTGGTCATGGCGCTTGCAACAGTGCCCAAAATATCGGAGACTCATAAAAAACAAGGTACATGGTAACAATCCCGTTAATAGCTATAATGTTAGTGAACATGAAAGTTTAAAACAATACACAAAATACTTGTTTCTATTTTCACTATTCAGAACAGACTCATATTGTATGTCTAGGTGTTAGGACACTCACCTATCTACCCGTTGTACATGATGTAACTATTGTTTAACCACTGCCTTATTTTTGAATTAAATAAAATACTGTTTCAACAGGTTTCAACTGCGTTGACTTAATACTTTGATACATATCTCTTCGTATCGGATCCTTTACAGGCTCCGTTCTCAGTAGTATTTCAATAAAAAACGCATTGTAATCCCGTTGAAACAGTGTATTATTTAATAGGTTGTGTGCGTGAAAGCATAAGAAATATTTAAATTATTTTTGCTTTCTCGTTGTGATCAATCACGCCCAAAAAGAATGATGTTTGAACTAAAATCAATCCTAATCAATGTCCTTATATTTATTAAATGTTCAATCGTTTATTAATGCCTATTGCATAAAAACATCCGGTAAACAATGCGCAAATAAAATAGGTAAACTCATAAATATCTTGCACAAAAGATGTGTTATGTAATATAAATGAAATGTTATAAACAAGTATCCTGCCCACATACTTGACGTCCTACGTCTAATGATGTTGCTTCACATCTTCACATTCTATTGTACTTAGGTACTATTGATTTTGTACTAAGAAGCAATCACTGAAGGCCTTAAATTATTGATTTTATTTTTCTGATCAGGCTTGGGACAAGGCTAGGACAATCAATCCTTTGATTTTTGCAAATGTATTTAATACGTATTTAAGCTAAAAATGACATATTGGATTTCTACACAAACGAGAACGTCCATGTATGAGGACCGTGAAAAGTCCTTGCTACTCTCTCTACAAAATATTGTAAAGAATCCTATCGTCAAGTCTCCAAACAAAGCCAGTCGCTACCAATTTTATTAGTCTATGGCACTACCTTTTCTGTTGATACACACACTAGTTGACCTATTCTGTTGATACACACACTAGTTGACCTTTTCTATTGACACACAATACTAGTTGGCCTTTTCTAACTTGCAGTTATTTTCACAGGTTTAAAGACGGCGTGGCGTACCCCTGGTCAGCGGGCGTGTCTAGCTTCATCCTGTACCCGGAGGCGGCAAACCAGACGCTGTACAGCCAGCGTGCCGCCCGCGCCGACTCTGGCAACTACACCTGCCGGACGACCAACGAGACGAACAGCGAGACGCACACACTCCGCCTCGACATACTAGGTAGACACCGCTCTCTGGTTATATCCTCAAACCAGACGCTGTACAGCCAGCGTGCCGGCCGCGCCGACTCCGGCAACTACACCTGCCGGACGACCAACGAGGCGAACAGCGAGACGCACACACTCCGCCTCGACATACTAGGTAAACACCGCTCTCTGGTTATATCCTCAAACCAGACGCTGTACAGCCAGCGTCCCGCCCGCGCCGACGCCGGCAACTATACCTGCCGGACGACCAACGAGCCGCACACACTCCGCCTCGACATACTAGGTAAACTCCGCTCTCTGGTTATATCCTTAGTAGGTATAGTAAATTTTATCACGGTAGGTAGTTTGGTAGTTGAAAGAAAAGTAGAATGCTAAAGAACACTCGTTGTAATTTAGTGCAATCGCATAAGCTCTGGCACCAACATACAATACACTCGTGCATTAATAACTCACTTTGCGCTCGATGCAACTATCTACTATTGCTTGCTTTGATAATGTTTTCCCTATGATACATAATTATGTAATTATTTATATTTTTAATACCAATCTTAAGCTTAGATTGGGTTGGCAGTTGTATTATTGCTGTATATTCAGTATTTTCTGAGGATCATTAAAAATTGGTCATTCCTTATATATCTTTTCTGTTCTGTTATTTTTCCGGCCTGTGATATACCCGTACAATAATAGTTCATTTCTATTTTATCATATTCTCTTTTTAATCACCTAAAGTATCTGTTAAAAATAGGTCGTGTTCGCTAACAACTAGGTTAGGAGTTTCACATGAAGTGTTTTTCGCAGTATCGGCGAATAACAGTATTTCGTAGTACCTATCGTAATTATCAGTTTCATCGTCAAGTAAAAAGTGTATGGTATTTCTTTTAATTTATAATGTTAAATATTATTAAATTAATAGTATGATCATGGAATTTAATTTTATTGATATATCATAGTGACAAATTCCAATTTTAAATCAAGGGCAGAACAAGTATTCAAGAGCGTCGTAAAAGTCCTTTTTACCGTTACCGAGTAATGCTTTGACGTATTGCTTTGTTTTGTATGCAATTCGTAAAATAATATGATAAATTAACTTATTGCATGGCCATAACATTGCGTGTTGACCGACATAGATAATAATGATGTCCCATATATAATTTTACACATTTGTAACAAACAGGTTTTGCAACAAAAAAAAAGAAACAAAAGAAAGAAACAATTCCTTTCGTCGAATTATCATATGTATTATCGAATACCATTTGATATTTCGCGATAAGATATGATTTCGTAGTACCTTCTGAACAATATCCATAAATGCGGTAATTACCCTACATGCTTCGAGAATATTAATCTCAGAACCACAGTGTAACAACACAAACTCTTTTTCACAGAAAAACCCTCGGATGTGCCGAAAATAATGTTCATATCGAAAGACCAGTGGGTTGAAGAGGGGATGGAATTGCGGCTTTACTGCGAAGCTCTCATAGGTAAATATGTTTTTCTCACAATACTTTTATATCTCTTGGTTTTGCTTGTAAAGTATCCAAGGTGAGCACGGGTAATAGCTCAAAGGTTTAAATAAATAAGATAATATTATTACATTTATAATTTTCTATAGATTCATTGTGAATTTTATTTAATTCTTCGGTTAAGAATTTAAGATGCATTTAAAGAAACCTAGAAAACAAGAATACGAATACATATAAAACAAGAATAATGCAAATGTAAATTTTTGTCAAATTGTCATTTTAATCTGGAACTTGCTATCGAGATTTTTTCAATTGTCCATATTCTTTACTTATATGTAAATGAAGTACATTTAAAGTCTTATTAACATATGGCATTGGTGCTATGCCAACCCTAGCAGAAAATACTAACTCAGATCAGTCAACATGAATGGCACTCAGTCCATAATTTGACTTTAATTTAAGTACTTTAGATTTTAGTACCTAAAGTATATGTATTATTTCTTACTTTTTTGAATGAAGAATGAATTTTGTTTTAATGAAGTCCGGTTTTATTTTTGCTAAGAAAGTTTTTATTTTACACTTATTATAAAGTCAAAGTAATTTCAACTAACTAAGTATACTAATTAGTACTTGAAGTTACCTGGGCCTACATTATCTCAATGAAACTTCTTCAAATAACCAAACACGAATTGAGTACTATACGAGTATGTATTTGAGGATTGATTGATTGTTAATTAAGATTGTTTGTCTCCGAAAGTACTCATCAGAGCTTCACCAAATTAATTGGGACGATGTCGCAAAAAAAACTGATTCGAATAAGAAAAGAATCATAAAATCGGTCCACGCGGTACGGTATCTCGGAGATATGCACGAACAACTATAAAAAAATATACTAACATAATGAGATCCTCCTCCTTTTTAAAGTCGGTTAATAAAGGATTGTAGTCAACGGCACACTAACCACTCTGCTACAGATTACTTAAAAATAGCTTTTCTTTTTTAAATACAGGCAGATCATACTTAGCGGACGCGCGGAGCGACTTGCGGTGGATGAAAGTTTGGCCGAACGGAACGGAGGGGGATTTACTGTCCCATACGGAAAGCAAAACGAGGAGGTAAGAATAATACGCCTTATTACAGGAAATACTTCATTATATTAATATAGGTACAATTCCTGGAAAAACGTCCACGGCCATCCCTTGTATAAATCTTAATTGCGTCACACAAAAATGTACATTGTTATTTCTTCTTTATACTAGTGGTGCCCTGCGGTTTCACCCGCATTAATTTGAGTTAAAAGGTTATAGTGGTCACCCTTAAAATATAGATTAATGCTGTCGCGGAGTTTTTTATTGAATTCATAATTTTTGTGTAACGTTTACCGTTTACGCAGTGCACTGTACACGCAAAGGAAGCTCTCAACTGGATATTTTCTTCCCGTTTTTGCAACATTTTGTTTATTGATGTTCCGCTCCTACTAGTCGTAGCGTAATGTTATATAGTCTAACCTTTCTCGATACATGCACTATACAACATAAAAAAGACTTTTTTTTTTTAAATCGGTCCAGTAGTTCCTGAGATTTGATTGATATTTTGTTTGTTTGGTTGAACGCGATAACGTTCAACCAAACAAATAAAATATCAAACTAACTCTTCAGATTTATAGATTACCTTGATGTCACATTGGGAATTGCTTAGAGTGTAAATTGTTGCTCGTGTACCAATATTCAGATACTGATTAGTATTATGCTCTAACCTATTTTTATACGTTATACATACTTTACCCAAGGCGTTTACCTGACGTTCAAGCACTGATGGCTCAGATGATATGTCTCGGCAGCCACCTAATTTGTATTACTAACCTCACTGCCTAGGAGATGATGGGATATGATATGGCGAGAGAACAGTGTGGATTAGATTTTATGCCATATTTTCCGATGAATGTTATTTTTTTGTACTTTTGTGCGAAATGTCTTTATTAAATGATAGGATTTAATAGAGCGTGCCTATTGACCGATTTACCCTTGTTGTGCAAAATTTTATTTACTACCCGTTCGCTTCGAGTCGTCTGTCGATGACACTTACAAAATGTATCACAGACACATCAACTGGTATCGTCGACCAATCATCATCATTAGCCTAATGTGGGGCACAGGCCTTACCTATGGATGGAATAGGGAGATTGGGCCATGACCCACATCGCGGGCCCAGTGCGGATTGATGGGTGCTAACGCCTGCAGATACAGCCGGGGCCAACGGCTTAACGTGCCTTCCGAAGCACGGAGGAACTTGAGATAGAAGATATTTGGTCACCTATCCAAAGACCGACCACTGCGAAAGTTGCTTAACTTCATTCAACGATCGCAGCCGAACGCGCTTACCACTCGCGCCATCGAGCTCCTCAACCGTCACCTCACCGTCGACCGATTTATAGGGTCTGTCTGGGAGCGCGGTGCGGTGAGGCAGGGATGGTGGGAGTGGCTAACTCGAAGCGAACGCATAATAGGTCGTATTTTATTTACGAAAACCGCGTCTCCTTTGCCATGGTTTTCTAAATGTTGCGTGTATTTGTTCTCCCAGAGACGACGTGGAGGACATCATAGGGTCGTACCTCAACTTCGGCAGAGTGAGCGTGAGCGACTACGGCACGTATACGTGCGTCATACACAGCAACGATGTGGTCACTAAGAACCATGTCACCGTGCACTATAAGTGTGAGTGAAGATTTTTTCATTTGGTTTTTTCTCATCATGTTTTAAGGAAGACAAAAGATACATTAATTATGTTTTTTTTTCTTACATGTTTCAAGGAATACAAACGAAAGTGCTTGTAGCCTAGTCTACCATTAAAGTTGCTTTTTGTTTTACATAACGATTTAGTTGTGGCTAATTTGGCACTTAAAAATGTCGAATTAGCCTTCTTGTGATAAGCTTCAGAAGAACATAGTACTTCTTAATTCTTCTTCTAAATTCACATTTTATGTCCCTATTTTAATTTAGTAACGTTAGTTACGTAGAAACTATTTCTAAAATTACACCAATTTTTAAATCATAACTTTCCCTGTGTAAACCAATTTGCGCATAATTTAATAAAGACAATGAAATCACAACACAAAAAAATGGAATTAAAAAAAAAATAATGGTCAAAATGAGTTATTTCTCTTCGTCAGATGGTGGGATGTCAGTACTAACATGGTCTGGGGAAAGCGGAGTGCCCTGGCGGTCGTTATTACTGGGCGGGATAGCGGGCGCGTTACTACTGGCCTCTCTACTGGTGCTGCATAAACGGTGCATGCCGTGCTTACTGCTGACTCTGAGGCAAGCGAGAGCTAGGACGGCCACTCCTGCCCATCGCGCTAGAGGTAAGCATGCTCGAAGGACCAATATGAGGGATAGCAAACGCCTTACTACTGGACTCTACTGGTGCTACATAAACGGTGTGTACCGTGCTTACTGCTGACTCTGAGGCAAGCGAGGGCTAGGACGGCCACTGCTGCCTATCGTGCTAGAGGTAAGCATGCTCGAAGGATCAATAGGAGGGATAGTAAGCGCCTTACTACTAGCCTCTACTGGTGCTACATAAACGGTGTATACCGTGCTTACTGCTGACTCTGAGGCAACGAGGGCTAGGGCGGCCACTGCTGCCCATCGCGCTAGAGGTAAGCATGCTCGAAGGACCAATAGGAGGGATAGCAAGCGCCTTACTACTGGCCTCTACTGGTGCTACATAAACGGTGTATACCGTGCTTACTGCTGACTCTGAGGCAAGCGATAGCTAGGACGGCCACTGCTGCCCATCGCGCTAGAGGTAAGCATGCTCGAAGGACCAATAGGAGGGATAGCAAGCGCCTTACTACTGGCCTCTACTGGTGCTACATAAAAGGTGTACGCCGTGCTTACTGCTGACTCTGAGGCAAGTGAGGGCTAGGACGGCCACTGCTGCCTATCGTGCTAGAAGTAAGCATGCTCGAAGGACCAATAGGAGGGATAGCAAGCGCCTTACTACTGGCCTCTACTGGTGCTACATAAACGGTGTATACCGTGCTTACTGCTGACTCTGAGGCAAGCGAGGGCTAGGACGGCCACTGCTGCCATCGCGCTAGAGGTAAGCATGCTCAAAGGACCAACAGGACGGATAGCGAGCGCCTTACTACTGGCCTCTACTAGAGCTGCATAAACGGTGCACGCCGTGCTTACTGCTGGCTTTGAGGCAAGCGAAGGCTAGGACGGCCCCTGCTACCTATCGCGCTAGAAATGAGAATGCTCGAAGGACCATTGTTTTTATTGACTAAAGCAATATATAAACTTGGCGGGGTTTTTAACAAAAGTAATGAATGGGACTGATTATGACCTGATTCTTTACAGTTAAAACTAAATTTGGCATCATTATAAATCATTATAATCAGCCTATTAATGTTCCCATTGCTGGGACACAGACCTTCCCTATGGATGGGGTATGGAGACTGGACAGTGCGTGACCCACCACGCGGGCCTAGAGCGGATCAGTGGGTGCTAATGACTGCAGATGCACCGGGACCACTAGCTTAAAGTGTCTATCGAAGCACGGAAGAGTTCGAGATAATACATTTTTGGTCCCTCATCCTATAACGGTTGCTTAACTAAAGACTGAACACGCTAACCATTTGCGCCATCGAGTTCCTCGTCTTTCGACTGTTTATACTGAGCGTTTAAAAAAGATGTATTAAATAAATGTTATTTTTACTTGTTCACAGTACTAGAAAAAGAATTCGACGTTTTGGTTTGTTGGACGGGAGTGGACGCGGAGTTGGTGCGAGGTGCGCTGTTGCCAACCCTCACGCTCAAATACAAGTACAGAGTGCACGCTGCCCAGCTATCCACTCAACCTGACCACTGTGAGTACTTATAAATAATAACAATATATCTTGGATTCGACGGACATATTAGTTTGTTGGACGGACGTAGACGCGAAGTTGGTGCGTGGCGCGCTGTTGCCAACTCTCAAGTACAAGTACAGAGTGCACGCTGCCCAGCTATCCACTCAACCTGACCACTGTAAGTACTAATAATTATGTTTTACTCTGGACAACTCCATGCTGCTTAGGAATTCGACGTATAAGTTTGTTGAACGATTGGACGCGAAGTTGGTGCGAGGCGCGCTGTTGCCATCTCTCACGCTTAAGTACAAGTACAGAGTACACGCTGCCCAGCTATCCACTCAACGTGACCACTGTGAGTGCTAATAATCATGTTTTATTCTGGCCAACTTCATGCTGCTTAGGAATTCGACGTATTAGTTTGTCTAACAGTTGGACGCGGAGTTGGTGCGAGGTGCGCTGTTGCCAACTCTCACGCTCAAGTACAAGTACAGACTGCACGCTGCCCAGCTATTCACGCAACATAAAAATGTATTTTTTAACTTAAAAATACAAATGATGCCCACGTATAATATTTTGTAATATTACTTGTTTGGACATCCAAACAAGTACGCATTCTGTACATACAGAATGCGTAGTTTTAGTATTTGTCATAGGATTTTTTACACCCCGTATAACAAATTTTCTAACAGTTTCCTCCGTGTTTCTTCCCATATAGGGTACACGGAGATAATGTCGGAAATATCTCGGTGTCGCTCCGTTCTGGTAGTCGTGTCGCCCGCACAATACTCGCCCCAGCGTCTGCTGACTGCGTTCAGACAACTGGCCGCGTTGCCTCATCCACCAGTCGTCGTATTACTGCAGGTAATGAGAAAAACCGGCCAAGTGCGAGTCAGACTCGGGCATGCAGGGTTCCTTACTATTATATATGTCGGCAATCTGTATAATGCAGGCATTCTAAACAATACCTATGCAATTTTTAGAATGCCTGGGGCATTTAGGCAATTTATGAAATGTTATAAGTATTTTTTTTCTATTTTATACATTGCCTCAAACCTAACCCAGCCTTCCCGGTTGGATATATAATGACGGACGGATTTCATAATTCTCACCGAATGAATTGAATGAAAACGCCAATTGAATGAAAGTTTGACCAACTCACAGTTAATTGGTTAGGTTGAGTTAGTGCTATGATCTAAACACAGCGCGAGCCGAGCGAGCAAAGCGAGCGTGCAGCAGCGACCTGCAGCGGCTGGCGAAGAATTGATAATAGATAAAGAAACAAGCAAAAGTCCACTCGCTATTTTCTTTTACAATTTGCTGACTGCGCATTCGGCATTGTATAAAATGAATAATATTTCATACATTGCCTTGATGTTTTTGGCATTCTATACATTGACTAGGTATTGTATAGAATGACGGATTATACAGATATATGCCGGTAACATATAAATTAGCGCAATAATTACTCGACTAATAATGTTTTTACAAAAAAAACCTTATCGCACGTTCTTTGTAATACAAACTAATAATAATATTTTTCTTGTTTACCCCTCAGGATTTGCCTAACTTAAAACGCGAGGCCAAGGAGGTGGGCGAGCGCGCATGCTCTCTGTTACGGCGCTCCAGACTGGTGGCGTGGAGGCACGTGCACGAGCGCGCCTTCTGGACCCAACTGCGGCTGGAGCTGCCGCTGCCCCCGACCCCGCGCCCGCCTCCCGTAGCGGTATGTATCTATACTAATATTATTATTAAGAATCCTACATTACCCCTGATGAACATAGGCTTTAGAAGTATAACTATTAACGGGATTGTTACCATGTACCTTGTTTTATAAAATCCATCCAATGGTTCAGGAATCCAGTGGTTCGTATGTGCACAAAATGCAAAAATCAAAAAAGTGTCGTCCCACAATCTGATACTGTGAGTATTGTGTGTCGGGAACAGATGCGAGTGAATAGTGAGAACGTGACCAATGGTAGGGGTATCGAGGGCAGTAAAAGACGACATCAGAGAGTAGACCGATACGTCTGCCAATAACATCTACCCGCAAATACTATAGTTACTCCGTGATCATGGCGCTTGCAACAGTGCCGAAATTATGGAGACTCATAAAAAACAAGGTACATGGTAACAATCCCGTTAATAGCTATAAAGTTAGTGAGCATGAAAGTTTAAAACTATATAGGCTATAGAATATTTTGAATAAAATTAGAGTGAGAAAAGTACTAAAAAAACTTATATCGCGTTCGCTGCGGAAATTATTGAAAATAGAGCCTTTGCTCTATTTTCAAGTGATATATTACAATTAAATATATAGATGACATCAATATCTATGAAAAATCAGCTATATACACTCGACTGCAAATAAACTGGGCCACTTGCTACCACGGAACTCTGATTTGATTTTCTCAAAAAGTATAAAATTTACATCTATCAAAATTATAACTACAGAAAGTGCGTTTCGTGGTGATTCAAATTAACAAGAATTTATTGAGATTAATCAATTAATTAATTTTTTATTTAAAAAAATCCAAGGAAGAATCGTTTTCCAATTGTGGTTTTCGGAAGTAAAGACGAAACAAAAATACTCGCGTCTGAGAAAACTATGGAGAAAAGCTAAGGCAATGATAAGCAGTATCAGACTATCCTCATTTTATAAAAAAGAAGGATAATCGCGACTTTATTAAAAAAATAGCAAATTGTTAGCATTGCTGTTCTTGCTCAATTTACTTAATTTAGTACTTTAGAATATTTTTTTTTCTCATATTAATAATTATGAAACACACTTTCTGTACATAAAGCTTTAATAGTTGTAAGTTTTATACTTTTTGAAAAAATAGAATAAGAGTTCCAAGGTACTAGCGGTTGGCCCAGTTTATTTGCAGTCGAGTGTATATATCTAACTACTACAATTATGACACAATAACAAATTTTCATGAAAAATTATGTAATATACGTACAACGATATTAAATACCCCAGATACCACCACGTGCGCTCATAATGTGCCCCAATCAAAAAGTGCTTAAACACGACTCAAGCACTTCTTTGTTCACAGTCACGCGCGGACCGTTGGAAAGTCAACATGCCAGTATGCTAAATAGCGTTTTTTCGACAGGTATCTAATCAATGTTTGTTAATTTAACGCATTTGAAGTAAATTTTGTTTTAATACTTACTATAAACTGATTTAATAGAAAATATTTGTGATATTCAAAAGCATGGTCGGTAATATAGCCGTCTCTTTTCCTCGCAGTCCGTACCTGCTACATTGCTAACAGCGCATTCAGATTTGCGCATAGAATCAAAGAAATAAGGTCTATATTCTTCCGGATATAGCAATAAGTCGTACAATTTTACGAGCTTGCGTTTCGGACTGTCATTACTCTTTGACGCATGCGCTTTAATTAAGACCTTAAACAGTATGCTTTAAAGTTGATTTTCAATGTTTAAATAATGCCTTATATTGTTAAGACTACGCGATCATCTTACGGAGCTCCGTGGATCGTCGAATGCACCTTGTGCACAGGTTTCGGGCATGATTTTGTTCATGTTGGTGTATCTAGGGTATTTAATATCGTTGTATACGTATTGTAACGCCGGTACAAACTAGGCCATATTATTCGTACCTGGTATTCGTATCCAAATAAATCACTTTGTAATCGGGGTTTTATCAGTACCTGTAGATTACTTTTATAATTATACCTTTCCCAAATTCCGTACCCTTCAAAAGTTATCATGACTGCAACAACTAACAGTGATAGACGAGATGGATGAGTACAAATCACTGCGCACACCATAAACTATACCTTTAATAATAGGGGCATGAACCAATGGTAAGGGGGACAAACTTTTTAACAGCAGAGCAATGGTGCATTCAGTACAGCGTTGCCAGACGTCCCGATTTTCAAAAATCAAAATTAGTCCCCCGCGGGACAGGCTCAATCCCCCTTTTCGGGAATAACTCGACCGTGCGTGCAGCGTACTGAGAAAGCGCGGGCGGGTGGCACAGACAAGTGTGGACTGGCCGCCTGCCCGGCGTGTAACTCTCAAAGAAAGACTCATTAGACTATTTAACGATAGGGTAAATCTGATTTAAAATATCATATTTTTATTAAAATACATTTTCTCTGGATATTTTTACTAAGTACCTATTTATTGTCACGTAAAACGTTATTTGAATTCGAATAAAAAGATAAATATTAAAAAAAACTTTTGATTAGATACTTTTTTTTTACTGTGTCTCGCTTTCGACGAAACAATCCCGCTTTTTCACTCAAAAAGTTCCTTAATCACGACTTGGCAAAAGAAATCTGGTAACGCTGATTCGGTACGACGGGCCCTAAACTACGCAGCAATATTTAACTAGCAGTTTGGTAGAGATAGACCGAAGCGAAGCGTATGTTTGCTAGTACCTTATACATCCATCGAACAACAGTAGAAAAGACTCTTAATATGGCAGTAACTATACTACTAAATAAAAGACAAAGTTTATATGACTTCAACATAACCTACTACTGATTCCGAACACAAGTAGCATTTTTTCATTGCTGTGCGTTCTAGGACATTCAATGTATGGGGAACGAGTCCGAATGTCCTTTGAAAGTTTGTACGTTTGTTACTCAATTACGCATAAACGGCTCAATAGATTTGGATTAAATTTAAACACAGACAAGCTCCTTACCTAGAAGAGACATAGGATACCCGTTTTTATCCCGTAAAAGCTTTAGGTTCTTGAGGGATTTTGAAAAAATCAAAGTTAACATGGACGAAATCGAGGGCGGCCGCTACTCCATAATAATCCAAAGTATGATTAACAGCGGTTATTTCTAAACTGACTATTACTTTAGAAATTAACTCACATAAAATGTTACTCATGCCATTTTTTATTTACACAATCAGTATTCTAAAGCAAAAAAATTTTGCCATACATTGGCGAATTGGGGCGTCATGGATTTGTTTCAAAAGTGAAATTGAAAACATATCATCCTGCCAATATTATAAGTGTGAAATTCCGCTCGGTAAATATTCTTTTTGAACGACTCCAGTCTTAAATTTGTATGTTCTTGTTACAGGTGAAAGCGGACTCAGAGGCCAGTAAGAATTCTCGCTCCAGCAGCTTAACGGCGCTAGTGTAAGCATTGTACAGACGGGCAGCTCGCGTCCTGTATAAAGTAGTGATAGCTCAGTGTCTGACACTAACCGAGCGTCGACTGCCAACCCAACAAGACTGTGAATAGATAAGTTCTGTTAAAGTAAATGAATAAACATTATATCACATTACAATTATTATACTGTAGTTAGGGCATAGAAGATACAAAACTGAAAGATTCTATAGTAAATTCCTCGTGTTTAAAATAGAAAAATGAATAAAGTTAAACTACCTGAAGAAGAAGAAGGAAGAACAGTTTTCCAAAGATCTCAGAATCTTTGAAAGGTTACGATTATCTCTTAAATGTGTAAACACCGTTTCTCTTTCTCGTGCCAAAGGGAAATTACGAATTATTATATGTAATTATTATCATGACAATGTATTTGTAGTAGGATTATAACTTTCTTGTACTCTTGTGCTATTTATTTAATTTATCTTTTGGAGTTCACGCTTTTGAGCGACTTTGAAAATTGTGAACGGAGAATTTGGAATATGTACAGTTGAAGATGGCGGTGTGCCATTTTTTGTTTTATATCCTATATCTCACTAGAGATTAGTTTACCAGAGTTTAGTTGTCTAGATAAATACAGAGAAAGTGACCACATTTTTGGTTTAATCAATTAATTATAATGTGTAAACTTTTTGCCCCAACTCGAAAATACTTGCTTAGCAACAAAACTTTGATAAGCCTATGTCATACAAGGGATTTGACTATATGTCGTTAGTTTAAAACATTTGTATCCATTAATTAACAAGAGATTTTCGCCTTAAAATTGGGCACCGCCAACTAACTGTAGAAAAAGTCACGGATATTCATAACTAAATTTAAATTTAATTCTTATATTATTATTTTAAGCGCTAATTAGTCGCGCTTTAATGGTCTCGAGTCCTTATTAATTTATATTGCTTGTTAAGAGCGGATTGGTCAACGTCCAGGGTTCTGTGATATGGTTTTGGTGGAATGTGAATGGATTGATTTTGCGAAGCGTTTTTTTATTGTTCTTTTAGTACGATTTATTTTTTTTCGGCGCATGCTACTCATTTAATAAGATACCCTTGAACAAACATATAGAAGGTCTAAATGTATCAAAATAATTAAATTCATCCCAATCGGTGTTATTTTTTTTAATAACGTTTAATATGCAATATGATTTCCCAGTGAAAATATTATGAGACTACTCAAAATTAAAACTGAAAACTTTCTCTTAGTATTTTTTCTCTAATTTTATCAGACAGATATTGTTTTTAATACATATTGCTAAAAAGTGAACATTTGCGTAGTTGTATAAGTGGAAAAGTAAGTGCTTAATGGTTTTTAATTTTGCAGTTATATATTTATTTAATATACCAATATCTATAATTATATATCTACTCGATTTACCTTGATTGTATGTAATTAATAAAACATGTTAGATCCTCTTTTTTCGTATCTTTGTTTGCTTTTTTCGCATATGTATTAATTGACGTTTAATACACGCGCGAAACAACTTTTTCGTGATTGCATAAAAAAAATCAATTTGTCAGACTAACACAGTTTTGAAGATAGTAGGTAACTGTCATTTTTTTTTAATCTTTTCTAACGCCTTCGCCTCATCCAGTATTATAACTGTGGAAGTTACGTGTAGAATACCAAAACAGTATGGTCATATTTTACACTAGCTGGCTGGGATTTTTTTTTTAACTTCCTACATAATTGTTGTTTCAGTATTTGATGTAAATATTAAATATAAGATGTTTCGTACACAATGCTATTGTGTTAAGTTAGGTGATCCGATGTGCTAAGCAGGATATTAGATTTTTGTAATTTTTCTAGTATTAAAATTTACTCCTTACATTCCTTTATTTTTTTTATTGTGAACGTTAATATGTAAAGTGATTGTGAAATGCATAAAACCAGGAAATAAATTACTCAAAAAAAAATTGTTGTTTTATGTGTATCATTGTGGTTCCCAAGCTCCTTTTGGGGGTGTATTAGAATTTTCCTTCTAGGGATGCTAGGGTATTGGATAGAATACATATAAGTATATTTTATCCATGACAAAGGCACAAATGCTCATACATATCATAATAACATTTGCCCCCACTGGAATTCGAACCCGGGACTTCTGAGTGGCGACACCTCGAAGCCCGGCGTATATACTTGGCCACGAAGGTCGTCGATAATGAAATGATAAAATAGGCGATTGGGAGTCCGCTTGTTTTTACACGCAGGGGCGTCTTTCCCACAGGAGCGCTGGGTGCGGCCGCATCCGGGCGCCGGGCCCTAGGGTACGCCAGCTGGGAGATCAACTTCTGAACGAATCTGGTGGTAGATAGTACCTACCTACTTACCTTACCCAACTACAATTTCATAAATATTACTTTAAATTAATGATTAAAAACCAAATTAAAACGTACAATTTAAGTACATACAGATTGTTTCCGTTTTTCTAGTCTACTTGGTCAAACTATAATACATACACATACAGGCTGGTCCAAATAGTGACGTCAACAATTTTTTTTAGATTCCTCGACCCTGGGGGTATCCGAAAATACCCCATGTATGTTCTGCAATTTTTGTTAGTTTTCGAGTTATATTTTTTTTTGTGTATTTTTAATGATTTCTGCCAGCGAGGTTTCAAAAATTCTTATCTTTTTTCGTAGTAGGTATTTTGCAGTCTTTGTTTTTGTGACATAATTGTCTTGAATGTTGTTTTAATAAAAAAATAACTCAGCTTCCTGCAATAACTTAAAGTTACTCAAAAAATGCTTGAAAGTTGGAACTTTAGTTTTTAGTAGGATTTACTCAAACATTCAACTTCAATTTAAAAATACAAAAATAGTTTCCATAGCTTCTGGTTAAGTATAAAAACTCCGCATGCTTCTAAATTACCAAAAATCATAATAAAAATAGTACTTAATCAGCCTATTTTTTGTTCTAATTGGCCTTCGAAAGCGGATAGGCTAAAATCAATGAAACACGATTAAAGCATTTAAAATTATTTAATCTACTTTTTATCATGTGTAATTTCAAATTAAATTTAATTAAATTCCTGTAAAATAACTTTAGCATGTGTAATTTTACAATAATTTCGGTTTCACCACTAAGATTTAAATGCGAACAAGAAGATTAAGACAAAAACTTACAGACGCGGAAAGAAAAATAAAGCAAGAATATTCAAGTTCAGACAATTAAAAAATAACTTTTTAAGACATTGTCAATTGTGTATTTAAGTTGGAGGAAGGAGTTTTGAAAATATACTGTAATAAATAGTCATTTTTCAGTAATTTGTGGTTTTTATTTGTATCAAAAAACAGGTAGTTTCCCAACTAGCCATTTTGATCTTTATTTTTGCTCACATATTTTAAATCTTAGTGGTGAAACCGAAATTATTATAAAATTCAACATGCTAAAGTTATTTTACAGAAATTTAAATTAAATTAAATTTAAAATTACATTTTTAGGTTTAATTTACCATAACAATGAAAAAAAGTAGATAAAATAATGTGTAATGCTTTAACCGTGTTTCAATGATTTTTAGCCTATCTGCCTTCAAAAGCCAATTACAACAAAAAAAGGCTGATTAAGTACATTTTTTTATGATTTTTGGTAGTTTAGGAGCATGCGGAGTTTTTAATTTTAGCCAGAAGCTATGGAAACTCCTTTTTGTATTGAAGTTGAACGTTTAAGTAAATCCTACTAAAAACTAAAGATCCAACTTTCAAGCCTTTTTTGAGTAACTTTAAGTAATTGCAGGAAGTTGAGTTATTTTTTATTAAATCAAAATTCAAGACAATTATTTCACAAAAAAAAGACTGCAAAATACCTACTACGAAAAAAGATAACAATTTTTGAAACCTCGCTGACAGAGATCGGATACCCCCAGGTGCGAGGAATCTAAAAAAATTTGTTGACGTCACTAGTTGGACCACCCTGTATATGTACATACATACGTATGCTTGCTTTTGTGACTATTATTATTATGTGACTTACATAAATAAGCAAGCATACGTATGTATGTATTTCTTCATTTATATTTCTGTAGCAGCCTATACAATGAAAAAATAATATGCCAAAATTTAAAAAAAGGGGGCGTAGCGTTGGCTTTCGCACTCGGGCGCCGCATATGGTTTAGATGCCCCATTTTACACGTTAATGTTTCTATGAATACAGCTAATTAACTATAACCGTTCCTTTTGAGAGGAGAGGCGGGCAATGTTTTTTCCATACAAACGTTTTCGACTGACTTTTGGTTGATTTTTATCACTAAACATTTTATATATTGATTGATATATTCCTCGTTGATTTTCATACATAAAATATAATTTTTTTAAATATATTTTAGGTGATAGAAATTTTTTCTCAGCAACAATTTTGTAGAGCTTTTCAGGAGCTATAAGACTATGTGAATTAAATTACTTAAGATCCCTTAATTTTTAAATGGGGAGAGTTTAAAGCGCTTGAATAAGGTGATGTTCGTAAATGTAGGTGTTAAACGGCTATATCTCCCCGAATATTCGCTGTACAAAAAATATGCACACAGGCAAATTTTTGTTCTTAAAAAAGCTACAATTTAGTTCTATATCATTTTTTTCGTATCTTTAGTATTTAGGGAAATATTATTAGAAAGAAATTGGTGTAAAACACGAAATTGAAAAAAAAACCGGTTTTCTCTTTATCTCCAATTTTTCGAAAATTTGGCACATTAAATTGGTAAAAACTTCGTGGATGTATTAATAGAGAAGGGTGGCGAACAATTTTAATTAGGGGGTACTTTAGAGGTTGTTTTCACAGATTTTTTTCGTAGAAAAAAGCGTGTACCGATCTTATTTTGATCATAAGTCAATTTTCATGCTAGAGACATTGTTTTTTATTTGTTTGAAAGCTCTTATTAAATACTTTGAAAAAGATTCTATGAGCTTTCTTCGAATAATGCAAAATTTCAATTTCTTCTTTAATGGCTTCTTAAAGATTAAGCCAATGACTAGTGTATGTAGCAGGGATTGTCTATTCTATGCTTGTTCGGTATATTTATGAATGAAATTTAATAACTCTGCTTAAAGTGTAGCAGGGTGTTGTGCAGGTACAAGGACGTAGAGTGACTGAAACCGAACAGTGTAGGAAGAGAATTTAAAGTATGAGGATGTTGAGATACCTGAAACAATTAAAGCTTTTTGTTAGGGCATGAAGCGGCGATAATCTACTTACTAGCTACAATTTAATGTTATTATTGTCAATATATGCACACAGGACATTCACAAAATCCGAATAGACAAATAATAATACGGTTTTAAAATTAGCGGGGCGAGGGATAGGCGTAGGAAGTAACGTATATAATGAGGGGGAGTTTCTAGGGCAGTTGAAAAAAATGTGATCTGTGGTACCCTCGTCGAGGCCACATTCGCATAGGGAGCTATCCTTGACCCTGATCTTGGCCAAAAATACAGGCGTGCATACGTGTCCGAGTCTAAGTCTGGATACGCTGGAGATAACTCGTTTTTTAAAATTGCGAGTTCGGAAAAACCAAGGGACGCATGGAATGTCCGGTTGTACATTAGCGTAATGTAAGCCTTTTGTCTTGCTAGTTTTTTTCCAGTCTTTAGACCATTCCAATAACAAATTCGTCCTTGCTATGGAGGCTAGATCATTGGGATATATGCCATTGTGTGTGAGAGAGCCACTGACCGTAGCTTGCTTGGCGCATGCATCTGCTGTCTCATTGCCGCTGATACCTGTGTGTCTCGGAATCCACACCAGAACAAACTGTAGCCCTTGCCGATGACAATCTAATAGAAGAGTCTAGATTTTTAAAATGAATTGAAATTTAAATCTACATTTAAATTGATTAGAACAGATAGCTTGTAAACAGCTCTTTGAGTCAGAGAATAATACTACTTTATTAAGTTTGTGGGATTCAGCAAATTTAAGAGCTTCTAATATGGCAATGGCCTCACCTGTGAAGATTGAGCAAACAGGAGGACATTTGAAGTTTAAAATTATATTATATTTAGGGATCCAGACTGCAGATCCAACATGACTTTCTCCAGATAATTTTGATGCATCTGTATATATTGTAAGCCAGTCGGCCCATTTCTCAGAGATTATCTTGTTCAACCTAACTTGTGCATCTAATGAATGTTTTTCTATGCCCAAATTTAAAATTACTTCTGGTTCATAA